GATTTTATTTTTTTCCTTTTTCTCCCCAAAGCCCCCCAGTACATAGTTGTATATTCTTCTTTGTGGGTCCTTCTAGTTGTGGCATGTGGGATGCTGCCTCAGCGTGGCCCGATGAGCACTGTCATATCCGCGCCCAGGATTCGAACCAACAAAACACTGGGCCGCCTGCAGCAGAGCGCGCGAACTTAACCACTCGGCCACAGGGCCAGCCCCTTACCTTTAGAATTTTTAACCACTAGGCTACGGGTACATTTTTTCTGCCTGAATTTATATCTGTGTTTGTTTTCATACTCATTTCATAACTCATGTTTTCAATAAAGTCGTTTTTGTTGAGTACCTACTATGTGCCAGACACTGGTAGGATGCAATAAATTGCATCATTTGGCCCTCATTTGGCCTACAGCCTGATGAGGAAGATAGACAGTAAAAGAATGACACAAATAGGTATGAAACTGAAACTGTTGTAAATGCTACAAAGGAGAGAGACAAAATTCTGGAAAATGAGATCTCAAAGATGTGTAGGAGTCAACTAGGAAAGGAGTATAGGCAGAAGGCACAATGTATAGGAAAGCCCTCTAGCAGGAGAGAGCAGAAGTAACGTGAGAGAATGAAGGAAGGCCAAGTGGCTGGAGTACAGAGGGCAGGGCGAACAGCTTGAGTCTAGAGATGTCGTCAGGGGCCATCACCATAAAAGACTTTTTAGCCATATCAAAGAATATGCCTTTATCCTAGGACCAATGAGAAGGTTGAGGCTTTGGGGGAGGGGGGGGCGGCTAGGATTCTAGTTAATGATATTATCTATTTTATATTTCAATAAATATTTCTGGCTACAGTGCAGAGTATAGGTTGGCAAGGGGAAAGTTATGTAGACCAGTTGAACTTTTTCAGTAGAGAGATACTGATGGCTTGGCCAAGGGAAGGAAGGATGAGATGTTGGTGATTTCCAAAAAGTCAGTGAATTCAAGAGCTATATACAAGATAAAATTGACAGGTTGTCTTCTGTGATATTTTTATGGAGCCCATGAGGAAGTCAGGGAACACTGGAGGAGGAACGAGTTTGCGAAGACAGATGCTAAGTTTAGTGCTCGATATGTTGAGTTTGAGATGTCTTGGACAGGGCAGAGCTAGCTGACGTTGGACTATGGGTGTGGAGCTTGTCAGAGAGGTCTGGGGTTTAGACAGAAACTTGTGACTCATCTTTACACAGGTCTGGAGATGGATATGATTGCCTGGAGAAAGATTATAAAGTGATTGGTAGAAGAGAAGACTAGGACCAAAGTCTTGAGGAATTCAAACCCATAATGGCCATGTAGTGAGGGATGAGCTTGCAAAGGATGAAAGAAGTACTAAGAGAAATAGAAGAAAATCCAGGAAATTGCTGCATAATGAGAGGCAAGGGAGCAAGGATTTCATTTCAGGATGATGGGAATGGTCAGTTGGCTTGAACGTGGAAGACTGAAAAGTGTTTATTTTATTTAGCAAAAAGTGGAGAACACTGATCAGAAGAGAATTGTTTTGAAATAAAGAAATCGCTAAGTGATACATATGGGAAATAAAGCTGTAACTTGTTCTATCTGTGGTCATGCCTGTTTGAGAATATTTCAGATGTTTGTATTTTGCATATGTCTTAAGAAGATACTTAGGGAGGAGGCATGATAGAGAGGAAAGTCATTTTGGCGTGTTGGTGACCACTAGAAAGACTATTCTTGAGCATAGAACAGTCTGAGGTTCTGGGGTCTGAACTGCAGAGAAAAGTTGAACCTGACACCAGGGAACTTTATGAGCACAGCGCTGCCTGTTTCTCCACCCAGTGGTGCTCTTGTGACAAGGTAAATAGACCAAACGTCCATGGAGTGGTGTTGACTTGCCTCACCCATTTCCTGGCATCGCTGTGCGGGAGAAGGCAGCTGTCGGCTGAAAAGTCACAGAGCACATTCTCGGTGACTTCTGTGAGGTGAGCTGCGGCCTCAATTTCCCCCCCTACACCTGCTACAACACGGAAGTTGAGCCCACCCAGAGGGAGCAGAGTAGAAGTCAGCATCTCAGCACAGCAAGCCGTGTGATAAGGCAGAAGTCAGACGGAAATGGTGAGAGCTGCCAGTGGGAGGTAAGAAAAGACAGACGAGCATCAGTAATTATTTGCAGTAGTCTAGCTATAAAGGGAGGGAGATAAGTGGATGAGCGAGCACTTATTCATTCAACAAATATTAAACTATATGTGCCAGGCACTAGGATAGATACCACAAAGACATTTTCCACCCCTAATGGAAGATGTGCCGTAAGATATATTTCATTTGACAATCTCAAATGCATAATGACTCAGTATTTTGTGAACTGATTCATTAAAAAATGTGACATTTGGAGCCAGCCCAGTGGCATAGCAGTTAAGTTCACACACTCTGCTTTGGTGGCCTGGCATTCACCGGTTCAGATCCTGGGCACAGAGCTACGCACCACTTGTCAAGCCATGCTGTGGCAGTTCCCACATGTAAAGTAGAGGAAAATGGGCACAGATGTTGGTTCAGGGCCAGGCTTTCTTAAAAAATAAACAACATTTTTCCTCAAATATGAACTTACTTGATTTTTATAAAATGATGAAACAAATTTGTGTTAAAATAAAAAAGAGAAAAATAACATGTCCATCTGTACTTGTTTTTTTTTTCTCATCCTCTCTCCTTTCATTCCTTTTGTGTTCTGAATTTGCACAGTCTTACTATTGTCACTTATTCAGAAAATATTTTCTCGAATGGTGTCGTTAACCCTATGTTCAAAGCCTCTCATAGTGCTATTTGACTTTTAAAAATCATCTAATCGCCTGTAATTTATAGAGCACCCACGTGTTCAAGCATTGACTATTACCCCATAGAAGTTAGAAACGTGAATAAAGCAGAGTTTTCCTAGCTAGACTGTAAGCTTTCTGAGAGCTCTTGGCATTGCTGTATTTAGAGCTATCAAATAAAGCCAGAGTACTATAAATGTGATTTTTGTAGTAAGGATACAGTTCAGGATCATTGGGTTTGTAGAGGAAGGTACAATGAATTCTTACTCAAGAATTCAGGACGATCCCTAAAAGAGGTGTTATTTGCACTGAGTGTTAAAAGATGAGCACTTCAGACAGCAGAAAGCTGGTAATCCAAGTCATGGAGGCAGGAAACAGCTTTTAGGGGGAACAGGGCACAATGAAATGGTTTAGTCTGACCAGAGAGGTTATGTGGAAAGTGGTAAGTGTACGGATCGCAGATCTTGGAAAGCTGGGCTGAGAAGTTTTAGACTTGATCCTATAGGGATTGGAGAGTTGTTAGAAGTTTTCAAACAAGTGGAGAAGCACCAAGTTTAGGAAGAAAACTGGGATCATCAGGAAAGCTGGGAAATGTTGGAGACTGGAAGCAGGGAGTACATGAGATGGGAGGCCATTGCCTGGATGGGAACTGGTGGACACTGGATGAGTTTCTGATATGACAGTGGCCTTGGACATGTCAAAGGGAAGTAGAGCTTTTTCTGTGCAAAGTGGCCATAATCAGTTGGAGTGTGTGTGTTGCAGGGAGGTGCAGTGATGGGGGAGAGCATGAAAATGACACTGAGTGTTCAAGCCAGAGTGACGATACCACTGATTTTAGGTAGAGAGAAAAGCAAATTCAGGAGAGCATAGGGATGAGGATCTAGCCAGGAGAAGCATCAAAAAAGACAATTTAAGTCATGGGTGTAAATGAAATTGCTGCCAAGCAGAGAATGTTGAGGAAGGCCCACATTTAAGGGGAGACAGAAGAAAAAGAACCAGAAGAGGAAAATTGAGAGGAGTTTCCTGCAAGATTGGAAGGGAGGTTTCAAGGAGGACGAGAAAAATATGTGGATTTCAAGGAAGGGGCCTCCTACTATGATTTGTTTCATTTATATAATCATTTGGTTGTATCTTCTCCCTTTCTCTTCCTCTCCCTTTTGGAATGGCCCTGTGAAACGGGCTGTGCAGCTGTCAGTACTGTAGCACATCTGGGCTTACACTTCATCTTTGCAGCTCTATCCCTATTTATTAGTGAGCGGTGACTAAACTCACTGGCAATCATTGGCTTCCTTCAGAAACTCCTCCTCGCTATTGAGAACATGACTCAAGGAAAGAAGCTCCTTGTGTGTTTGTCAGGAAGCCGCAGCAAGGGAGGAGAGCTGGGGGATTTGCTTATTGGGAGTTAGTGGGATTTTCATAGCAACAATAACTACCTCCGCACAAAAGTATTGTTTTGCCCTTCAGTGTTCATGGTAGATAGTCCTACTCTTATTAAATAGAATAGTCCACTTTATCTCAATGTCCCTATATCATGTTTTACATGAAAAATTTTTCTATGAATTTCATATCAGGAAGATAAAATACTTGGTTTCTTTAGGGGAAGTGATGTATTTTCTCCTTTCTAATAATAGGAGTTATAGAAGAAATTAGGTTTTCCTTTTACCTAAATTACTAAGAAATTCAAATCCAAATGATAACTTCAGTCATTTCAACTGTTGACCAATATAAGTAGCATAAATACTTCCTCCTTTTCTACTCTCAACACTATTTTCTTATTTTTATTCATATTACATTATTTTTCTTTTTGGAAGCCACCTCAAATTCTTAAGATAAAGAGTCAGGACATAAACAAATTAAATACGTCTACTATTAACTAAATATCTTTCCGCACATCATCTCATTTGACCATCAGAACAGCTGGTATTATTACTCCCACCTGAGAGAGGAGGGCACTGCACCTCCGTGAATTAAGGACTTAACGTTCACTCAGACAAATACCGAATGGGATCCGACCCCAGACCTTCTTTCTCTGATGGCTGTAGTCATTTCCGCCTTTCTTGCTCAAACTTTTGTGGACAGCTAGTTGATTTGTAACTGGCATATGGTGGGTTGGGATAGCTCTCGTTCAGATGAGAAATAATCACTAACATAAGAAACTAGTATTGTCTGAGCAGTTTTCCTCTTGATGATGAAATATTCCATGCTGGTATCTCCTCCCCAGGTTTTGTAACACTCAAGAAGTACATGAAAGAGGCCTCTTTCATCAAGTATTCTTAAGTTATGAAAATGGAATTGAAGCATATTTTCCCCCTTCGTATGGTAAGTAACTACTAATTCAAGTAATAGAATTCACTTTGCCCTCCTTCTAATTTTCTCATGATATTTACAAAAGAAATGGAAATGCTTCTTGTGTGAATATGGCATGACTTATGAATAATATCTAGGTTTGTCTTCAGAATGTTTCATAAAAAAAGAGAATATTCTGTTTTTTGATTCACTTGTGGTTTTTATAAATTCTAGTTTAATATCTTTTACCTGGTTTAGAATTTGAGTCATTTTTACCTACATATGAGTTTTGATCATTAAAATAACATAACTCTTCTGACTACTTTATACACACTTAAAATGCTTTACTTAGTAGCATCTTGTGCAGAAAATTGACATGTGGACTCTGAAAAGTCATAGCCACATAGAAGGAAGATTTAGAAATGCCAGATTGCTGTGCAGTGGCATTTCTCTTCATCCCAGATGCCCTAGTTTGCAGCATCCACCCCTTTTGGCCTGGGCATGGACTGTCTTTAATTGGAAAAACTTATTATCACTTTGCAAGTGATTAGAACTGAGTCCTCCCAGGTGAGTGAAGTCAGCCTTTAAAGAAAGGACCACATTATTGAGTGCTTTCATCAAGGTATTGTGCCTAAAGGGCTTAACATGATTTGCGACAGTTCACTGTCCTTTGTCCACCCACAAAATCATTTGTTATTTTCACTCTTCATTGTATTTTGTTTTTCTTTATATGTTCTAATGCATATTTAAAAGAAAAATTCTCTCTATATGTGTAGCTATGAATATTATAAGATTTCATTTATTCTCTTTTTAGAGATGGCACCTGAGCTAACATCTGTTGCCAATCTTCTGGGGTTTTTTTTTTTCTTCTTCTTCTTCCCAATGCCCCCCAGTGCATAGTTGTATATTCTAGTTGTAGATCCTTCTAGTTGTACTATATAGGACACTGCCTCAGCATGGCCTGATGAGCGGTGCCATGTCCACAACCAGGATCCAAACCGGTGAAACCCTGGGCTGCCAAAGCGGAGCACGTGAACTTAACCACTCGGCCCTGGGGCCAGCCCCAGATTTCATTTATTCTAATGAATTAAGGAGGTGGACATATCTGAATTTGTAGGAAGGATGAATTATAGATAACTTTTAAAGAAATGTGGCTTTTATTACTTTAAACTACATATAGTAACTTCAACAAAACATTACAAAGTAGAAATCCTTACGGAGACCTGTTACAATAAATCATATGAACATTTTGTTATTAGCATATAGATTGGATATATGTAGGAGCTTGTAAAGTGCCTGAGGTTCATTGAAAATAGTTTATTCTGTGTCTAAAATGTGTACATAAGATTGAAAATAAATGTTTAAAACATCATACATTATCTACCTATAAATAAAGTGTTTGCCAAGCAAAGGTAAACATCAGCCAAGCTCATGAACAAATTATCAAAAGATTTTAAATTTATTGAAGCCCTAAATTAATGAGATATTACCATGTGTGCATAATAACTTAAAGAATAAAATTTGCTGATCCTTCTCTCGTATGGGTATTTGTGCTAATGAATCAGGATGCTATTTACACTATTAGTCCCCAAAGTAATTGCTTATTTGAAGAAGTTCTGTCTTAGGGGTTTTCAGTTAATTAAATCCATTTGCATTTTATGCACACATTTTAAATTCTCAAGTCTTATTTTTCATAAGCCAGATTCAAATACGTTCATGCAATCATACCTCTCATTAAGGCATTAGTCTTTCATTTTTAAAGGAACTTTCAGAGTAGCCATATGCATAAAATGCTTATTAATAAAATCCAATCAATATTTTAGAAAAGTCAACCCATTAAATATTTTTTTCATTTAAATTTTCCTATTTGTAATGGTGATTACTATGCTAACATACCTCCAATTTCTAATTTTTCGGTTAGCTTAATTTATTCAATGATTTTTTTTGCTTTGATTTTGCATGGCAGTTTTTAACTTCTAACATGCCTTTAGAATTACAAGCAACCTTTTCCCAGAGAGTAGCTTTTTCAAGGTATGTGCATAGTAACTGATTGATCTTGCCAACTCAATTGGGAGATAACTAAAATATGGAGCAAAACTTTTCCAATTCTAAAACTGGTGAACAGAGTATAATAATTCACAAAGTTAGGGATGTTTTTAAAGGTATGGTTTTCTCATAGTTTTCCAATATTTGAGAAGCTTGGAATTAAAGTACATAAGTGATAAAAATTGTAAATGCCTTGATTAGATCCAAACCATGGAAATCTTTCAGTGCTACCCTAGCTTCGAAGCTTGAAAAAGCTACTGAAGTTAAGACAGCAGAAGAAGCAGAGGGACAGGCGGGATGGAGGCAGGGGCCGGAAGAGCCACAGGAGCCATGCGGTGGGCTCAGGGTCTCAAATCAAAGAGCGTGGCAAAGCCAGAGGCTGGGAAAGACTCACAGGGGCACCATCTGCAAAGGAGATCTGCAATCCAGTTTTGAAATCATGCCTAACCGAACTATTCTGGGTGGTTAGTAGATGTTTATCTAGTTTACAATTTATCTAGGTTTATTAGTTCCTCTTTGCAAAGAAAACATAAAATACAGAATCTGGATACATTCGGGTTCAAATTCCAGCCTAAGATGACATCTGAATCAAAAAAAGGTAGAGTGGGGCCAGCCTGGTGGCGTAGTGGTTAAGTTCGTGTGCTCTGCTTCCACAGCTCCGGGTTCATCAAGCCACTCTGTGGCAGCCTCTCACATGAAATAGAGGAAACTTGGCACAGATGTTATCTCAGCAACAATATTCCTCCAGCAAAAACAGAAACATTGGCAACAGAGCTTAGCTCAGGGCCAGTCTTCCTCACGAAAAAAAAAAAAAAAAGGTCAAGTATCCAAGTGGAAGAGAGAGAGAAAAAGGAAAAAGTGATATCCTAAAATCATGATAAATATGACAGTTATTTTGTCCTTTTTAGCAGTATTGGACAATAACATACTTTTGTTGTCATCTTAACATGAGATATAGGTATAAAATGGAAAACAATTTTTGATGTGCTGAAAAACTCATACACTTTATAATAAAATAAAATTTCATTCAATTAACTCATTGATTCATTTAAGCAATGATCTATGTAAAGCGTAATACCAATAGTCTCCTAAGAACATATTTTCTTTGTAGCTGGAATTGCCCTAAGGAAGCATTTCTTCTCATTTAGAGAAAGTAGAATAAAGCACTTGTATTACCATTTGTATAAATTTTTAATACTGAATAAAATATTAGTATTTAGTGTAATATTGATTCTCAACATAATACTCCTCCATAATGGCATGCTAATTGGTTAGAATTAAATCAGACAGATTCAAAAACCATGAGAATAGACCATCTAACATTTGTAATTTTTTTTCATTAGTTTCCAGAATTCCAATTACAATGGAATTAATCTGTCAAATAAAATAGTATGGTACAATAAAAGTTCTGTGCACTGTGTCACGTGCACTCCTCTTCCTTCCCACTGCTCCACCCCCTGGATGACATACAGGAGTGAAGAGGATGGGAAGGAGGGCAGATCTTCACTTGTGAATGTCAACCATAGAGTAACAGCCTCAAGAGGCAGCAATCTATGAGCATTCCCGCCCTGTTATTTACTAACTGTGAGACCATAGGCATTTTCCTTAAACCTCTTGGAACCACAGTTTCCTCATTAGTAAGATGATTAGTCTAATAGTACCAACCTCCTACAGTTGTCGAGGAAATAGAGGTTCTCAACGGAGGGCGATTTTGCCCACTTGGAGACATTTGGGAATGTCTGGAGATAGTGTGGGCTATCCCAATGATGGGGGTGGGTGAGCTACTGGCATCTGGGGAATAGGGGCCCAGGATGTTGCTAATCTAACATGCGCAGGACAGCCTCCACAACAGATTCATCTGACCCAAAAGGTCAATAGTACCGAGATTGAGAAACTCTGAAGTGAAGTAATGTATGTCATGAGCAGTGTCTGATACCCAGTAGGTCCTCAAAAAATTAGTATAATTAGGGGCTGGCCCAGTGGCACAGCGATTAAGTTCGCACGTTCCCCTTCAGCGGCCCAGGGTTCACCGGTTTGGATCCTGAGTACAGACATGGCACCGCTCATCAAGCCATGCTGTGCCAGGCATCCCACATATAAAGTAGAGGAAGATGGGCACAGATGTTAGCTCAGGGCCAGTCTTCCTCAGCAAAAAGAGGAGGATTGGCAGCAGATGCTAGCTCAGGGCTGATGTTCCTCAAAAAAAAAATTTTTTTTTTAATTAGTATAGTTACACTGTTATTGCTGTCATTATTTATTTGAGACAGAATTCCAAATCACCCACATGGTATCAGGACTGAGTCTTATCAGCAATTCAGTAAGTCCATCCCAGCCTAGTCAGTCATGCCTATCTGCTAAGTCATCCACTTGGGATGGGCAATTTTGAAGTGCCTTCAGGAATGGACTGACCCACTTAATACCTGACTAGTCTAGCAGGCTCATAGATAGATTGGACCAAAGTTCATGGGCTATCATTTAATTTGTACCCTCTTAGAAATTAGAAGAAAATAAGAAAAGACAAATAAAAAGTAACTTATAGTGCCAGGTGACTATCACTTTTTAACTTCTGCAGTTAATAATGGGTCAAGGGTCTCCTCATGATCATTTCCTTTATAAAATGAACTGCTGTTTAGACAAATGGCTAAGAAATATAGTATGGTTAATATAAGGTTCTGATTAACTGTTTATATGGTACAAGAATATTAGCAATTCACAATCAGTTGAACGCAACAATGTAGTTTTAGCTTAATGTTAAAACATTTTAAGGACAGAAAACTCTTGCTTAATGCAAGATTTTCAAGGCCAAACAGACCTGAATTTGAATTTCAACTTTATAACCTTCAAGCTGTGTGACCTTGAATAATTTGCCTGACTTCTCTGAGCTCAGTTTCCTTATCTGTTTAATAGGCATAAAATTACCTCATAGGGTTGTTGAAAGAATTAAAGGAGACATACAGCATTTGACGTATATTAGCAGTGAATAAATGGTAGCAGTTATTATTTCCATTATTATTATTTTTTTTTCTGGGGAACTTGAATTGCCTTGGGATCATTATCATGGCCATGGATTCTCATTGCAAAGAATAACTATGGTGTGTAGGTAATTTTTATTAACAGAGGAAGCTCAAATTACATCCATTACCTCAATAAACAAAAGATCTTAGACTTGCTTCAATAAAATTGACTTAAGAAGAAAAAAGAAAACATACATATTATACATGGAATTTCCCAGTGAGAATTTTTTTTAAGGAAAAGGTGGATTTCCTAAATTAAAGAATGAATGATGTGCACATCTTTCTGGCATATTTAATATAGTTGATAATCCACTTTTTAATTAGCCACCTAATTATAATTCAATAGAAATTTCCCCGGGTGAATACAGTAACCTACTTCAGAGAGAGAAACAGTGCTGTGAGGGGGCGCTCCTACTGTGAATTTTGACACTTTTTCAGGTCCAATTTGTTCTCAACCTAAACGGCCCAGGAGAGATGGGGAGTGCTGTTTCACAGCCTAATAATTCTGACTGCCAGGAAGTTTGACTCTAAGGCTAAATTCACCTTTTATCAGTATTTTTATTTTTCCATTTTCTTTGTTCTCTGGAAAAGACTCAGTTTTTTTTTTTTTTTATCTTCCCATCAATCATATGTTTAAAATTTGAGAATAAAAACTCGATTAATCCAAACTATGGCTCCTTTCATTTTTCTTGACGGTTTGCTTTCTTCTTAGCTCTTCAAGTTTCCCCAACTTCTAACTGACGGTTTCCTGGACTTTTTTTGTTTGTTTCTGGGATGGAAAGTTACCTGAGGAGACCATCTCAACATCATCATAGACTCTTGTTCAATTCCACAACCCACACCATGTCAAGGAGGGAGATTTTTCATCTCTTCCTTAGCAAGAGATGTTCAAAGTTCCCAAAGCTTAATAGTTATTTTTTTTGTCATTGGTTGTTCATGGCCTCAGTTTAAAATGTTTTCAGACTTACCATCTGGTGCTGTGGAAATGAAACGGATGGCGATATTAAATTCTCTCTTCCAACCGTTTTTAGTTTTGCGTAGTTACAATTTCACTGTGTTTGCATATAATTTTGAACTATTGTCTCTCATTAATTTCCAGCTCATATGCATTAAATTTATGCAGAGAGGAGAGATGAACTTTTCATTTTAATTAATTTAATTTATCTCCTTGCTTCCACCCTTGCCCGCTGCAGTCTGTTTTCAATAAAGCATAAGTCAGATCATTTTGCTCCTTGACTCAAAACTGCAGTCTTTCCTTGTTTCAATTAGAGGAAAAGCTGGAGCCTAATAGTGGTCCTCAAGGCCGTATATGTTTCAGCCCACCTGACCACCATCTCCTTCTGCGCCCCCACCCACATTCACTCCACTCCAGTCACTCTGGCTTCCTGACAGTTCTGCCAGCACACCGGGCATGCTCCTGCCTCTGGGCCTTTGCACTTGCTATTTCCTGTCTGGGACCTTCTTCCCCAGGAATCCACATGACTTGTTTTCTCTTCTCCTTCAAGTCTTTGCTCAAACATCAACTTCTCAATAAGACCTTCACTGACCACCCTTCTAAAAATGTCACCCGTTCCCACAACTCCTATTTTCCTTCCCTGATTTATTTCTCTCTGTGATACTTGCCACCTTCTGATAAATTATATAATTTACTCATTTATTTATCGTCTGTCTCCCTCCATGAGAATGTAAGCTCCACACGGGCAGCAATTTTTGTTAGTTTTGACTGGTGTACACCAAGCACCTACCCCAGTGCCTGGTATCCAGAAGGCACTTGATAGATATTAGCTGAATTGAATTGAAGTAGAATTACACTCTGATTGACCTTATTTCATTTCCCTCTAAGCCTTAATTTGCCTTCCATTAGTTTTATCTTTCAGTGTTCTAATCTTATTATAGTCCTTTAGGGAAACTTTGATCCCCCCACCCTCAGTTGAATTTAGGAGATGGAAGAAACAGGTTCACTGTGTTTCCTTTTGATCTCTGATAAGCTTTAACTGGGATAAATTTGCCTTTTAGTCATATTCCTTTCCCTATTACTTTTCCTATTCCTCAAGGACACTGTTATCACCAAAACGGTGAATTGACTGGGATAAATTAGATTCCTGATCAGAACACTCCTGGGTGAATCCTGAGGCAAACAGGAGATAGAGATGGAAATGGCTAGCTCTAGAAATAGTTAAATGAAAGAAAATGTGAGGATTATTTTCCTTTGGACCTCGGTACACTTTTTCTGGCACACATGTTCCTAGCATAAACATTAGAGCCTTAAACCTGATTCGAGAAATTACCTACCTCCTGATGACAAGAAAGCCATAAATATAGTTCATGACCAAAGATTAGTCACTGTTTATGATTGCTGGCGACACGTGATACATCAGGGAGATCTGGCGATATTTCAGATATCTCCAGTCAGCCATTTATCATTTTCATAGTGGAAGATGAGGAGGGATTTCTCTCGTAACAGCCCCTATAAAGGGAAGTGAGTGGGGAAATGTCAGATGTGTTTTATCATTGAGAGTCAAAGGGACGTTGACAATGTTAAAAATGTGCTGAGTGGAGTACAGGTTTTGTACACGTTGGTCTTCTAAATAATAAGACCCCGTTTAAAAAAGAAGAAGAAGAAAAAGTAGAAAATAAAGGAAATACGTTCTGTGTTGCTTAGTTCTCCCTCGTGCCCTTGAACCATGTTTCTGGACTCCCGCTGAGAAACTGAAGCTTGATTTATCTCTAGAGGCTGTAACATTTTGAGCAGCGCGATGGCCTTGAGACCCTGCCTCACTGCCATCCCAACACATGACGTTTATGCTGCAGATCAGTTTGATGCAATACGCGGACACCCAATGCATGCGCTACCCCCTCCCCCCCCCCCCCCCCCCCCCCCCCCCCCCCCCGCGAATTTAACATTACTCCCTATTTCAATGCATAATTTAGGATCTGCCAAAGCACAGAGCATGTTAATAACTTCCACCTGATTGAAAACTTCGAACCCATGTTCCCTTTGTAACTACTATATCTATCCAAGTGAAAGACATAAGGCCCTCTGGGAGACGATTTTAAAAACGGGGTTGGGGATGTGAACAGCCAAGAACTTTGTCTTAGAAATGGTGAGAACGAGCCACTGAAAAGTTTTTAACATAACCAATAACTTGTGCAATGCTTTGCAGAATTCCGAAGACACCATTAAAAATTAAATAAAAAGCCTCAGCTTGGTTTTGTATATGCTTCAATAAGCAAAGAGATATATTTAATGCAGAGGGTGTTGAATCTGAATTAGTACAAATATTATTAATTTAATGTTCATACTGTATTTTATGGTTTATAAACTGCTTAGCAGTAATTTTATATATTTTCCCTCCCAGCACCGCTGTAAAAGATGTCAGCGCTTTATTTTTCCCATTTTATAGATGAGGCAACCTTTAATAAGTGATCTATTTCTTTCCTGTGCATATTGGTTAACTGGTAAATGATTAATTTATGTCTACATGAACTTCATCATGCAGAGTATTTATTTTAGTGTGAGTTGGTATTTATTTTACCCGCAAAGCATTACAGTATCCAATTATATATGCATGTTTTAAAGGCAGTAAAGCAGCCATCAGTAGTTAATGCAACATTAAGTCAGAGATTTTTAAATCCACATTAAATTCGGAGTTAGGGTATTTAAATCAACCGTCCCTCTTTCTCCTCTCTCTGGTCCGTGTGGGTGAGAAATGATCCTTTTATAAAGTGACCCCATGGCACCTATCCAATGACACAGAAAAGATGTGTTGAGATTTTCAGAGTTTAAAAATCTGAACTGTAAAATAAAGAACGAAGAGGTCTATAATTATGTTTGGCAAGAGTGGAAGAGTAAACAAATCTGATCATTTGTATCTGCCTGTGGAATACCTCGCCGACTGTGGGGCTTCCATCTTGCTCGCTTCCTTCTTCCTTCTTTTCTGCTTTCATTTCTTCCTTTTATTTTCTTATCAATTTTTGCATCAGTAAGATGGTTGTTGTGGCTACTTGCATGGAGAAGTATAACAAACCACACGTACGTGATATATTAAGGTTTAATAGAAAGGGCATGGTCCCCTGCAACACCATCGTTTGCATTATTTCTCCATGTTGTACTCTGTTGTGCTGTAAGGAAAATCGCTTCTCTCAGGGTGTCGCACTTCAAGTTCAACATTCTCAAAATGCTGCTTAAGCACCAGCTCAGCTAATACCCCTCTAACATCACTTCACTACTTTAATCCTGTAATTTAGAGGACAAAGCACCAAAAAGTTCAGTCGTTTTATCCTAAGTCAAATTTTTTAATTAATTAGAAATGTGCTTTCTTTTCATGATAATTTATTAGATATAATTCTCCTTCATTTATTGATCTCAAGACTCTTAAATTAAGCCAGTAAAACTAAGAGTTTTAAAAATTCATTGCAGAGAGTCCCTGCCCTAATTTCGCATGCAAAAGTGTCTGATAAAGTCTAAATATTGGCATGTTAACTGTCAAAGGCAGATGATTTAAAACACATTGTGTGTGCTGGGTATTTAAACTCTTCCAGAATCCAGAAATTGTCTCTTTCAAAACTAAAATGTATTTTTGAAGCCAGGAAAGGATTTAAAGATCCAGGAAGTGCTATGATATGAATTTTATGAAAATAATTTTATTGTTAAAAATTTTGTACCTACTGAAATATACAGTATATTACATCAGACCTACCAATAAGACAATATATAATGAAGTAATATTTTTAATTGGTGTCATTTGTTACAGGATCTATTGTACAGTATCTACTTAATCAGGGCATAGAAGTTTTAAAGATGAATTTTTTCAAATAAGGAGCATTACTGCAGAGGAATGTCATTGAAGTATTCTCCTCTCTTGTTTAGAGCTCAATTATAAAAGGAATCAGTACTTCAGTGAGCAGTTTTCTAACTTAGAGTTAGATATACTTGACCTTTAAATGGGCGCTGTGGGTTATTTTCATATACTAAAGATTTCGTGTGAAGATATGGAAATTTTAGCCATCTTACTCTTTGTTATAAATGTAAAAAAAATACACATATAGTCAAAAGAAACATTTCAAATATTAGAGTATAAATTCAATATGTGAAGTATAGAAATTTCATCCTTTTAAAAATCCTTCTGACCAATAAAATATGCAAATGAAATGCTATTATAGCTTTCCTTTTATACTACAGTTCCAGTATCTAATAACCCAGGCTTTTCCTAGTCCAAGACTTTTTCAATGGCATTTATTATTCCCATTTATGTTTATTTGACCCATATTGCGGCTTCTAAATTGGATATATCCTTTTCTCCTGAGAACTCCATGTCCTCACATTGCCTTACAGGAGAACTGTGAATTTGTATCACTTTCTGGTGCAACAATGAACTAAATGGGCAGAGACCCAGATAAGACTCCCTTACGCTCTCCCTTACACCTCTCATAGGACACGAGATCCTAGTGAGCATCCATTATTATAAATGTTGAGCTGGGCTTGATTCCCAGGTTCTCACTCTTATAATCCCAGACTCCATTATAATGGTATTTCTGTTTTCATTGATTGCCATCTTTTTATATAATTCTGTTAGCTTTTGCCAAAAAGAAATGTTTTGAGAGGGGATTCTTATATGGGAAAACTGAAAAGTAATGTTCATGCTAAGTAAAAACACTATATTCCTTTTCAGAGAGAGAACTTACGTGAAATCAAGTATTCGCGATTTTTCAGAACTGCATATGGAGAAGTTGCTGAAATTCAATCTTGCTTCCAGATAAAGTCAGCACAGCATTACCCAGTTATTATGTAGCATTTCCATGCAAACTAATAAATAGTATTTCAACTTAAAATTTCGGTTTTTAATCTAGATGTAACTTAAAAACTCTTACAAGTAAAAACTCTTAGAAGTAAGCATTCTTGTCCATCAGAAGTTTGTACAGAAAAAGCAAATTCAAAGGGACAAATATGGGCAGTGCCTTCCAGCACTGACAGGGGGAAAAGATCCTGGCTCAAGAACACAGGTCTCTAGGCAATGAAGCAAGTGTATCCCTCAAGAGAGAAGAATGCATTAAGTTGTCATGGCTTTGAAACATCAGCCATTTACACCTCCCAACTTATTCCCCTGGTTCTGAACCCAGATTCACTTGGTAACCATTCCATTGCTTATAATTCTTCTTTGCATATACTTGTATCTGTATCTACATCTATACCTACAGGGACAAAATACAGCAGTCAATATAACTCATTAGCTTGATGGATGTATTTCTTATTGTAAACTAATATATTGGCATTCTGAGATAAAAAAGCTTTTTTATTCATGTGAATATTGTCAGTGAGATCATTTTAAAGTCACATAACTCTCAGCCACACATACGGAGGTAGAAGTTCCGTTTCTGGAACATGAGACTAGAAATTGTCATTTGTCATCCCTTTTTGCTTATAAAATACAGCCACTCCCATACCTGCTACCACAATGCCTTCCCCACCCCATGGGAAAGGGAAGTAACACTTGTAAGAAATGACAAGAGGTCTAACGTTGTCAGAGAAATAAAGCTACTTGGGAAGGTTCACCCAGCCAGTAAGTAATAGAGGTGAGAGTAACACTCAGGTCTGACAGATGTCCTTTCAACTAAACTTGTGTCTTTACTTAGATTCTACTGCTGGCAACATGGGCCCTGACTAGGGGAAGCGAATAAAAGTTCCCTGGTTGCTAGAGAATACACACGCGTCCTGTTGTCTATTTCTTCTAAGCAAGTCTAAACCTATATGTTGCCCAAGAAATGGGTATTCTGTAACTGGCACTCCTACCTCTGGTGGTCATGTGAAGAAACCTTGTTTGATCATTTAGCTATATGTGTATTTTGGAGTCCGATTTTAAAATGACTAGCAACACAAAGACATCTGTTCATAGTGAACTTAAGAATTCATTGTATGCTCCTTATCAGGCAATTGGAAAAGCAAAGAGAAACGATAGTTATTTTACCAAGCAGATTCATGGTTGTCTTTCATTGTCTATTCAGATCTCTTTATTCGATCTGGCTATATAATGAGTTATGAGCCCAGTTCCCATGACCACATTTTGTTAACTGAAATATAGTTTTAATTGTTTCCAAGTATACATTTATATTATTTACCTAAAACTACTCTGAAAAAGGCCTTCAATCTATTTAATAGAAGCTGGTAGGGATAGAAATGAGGGTACGCTTCACTAATTATAAGCTTAGTGATGCACAGATGAAAAATATTTTGGATTTTGACCATGCATATTAGGTATTAGGAGTATTATATTTCATGTTAAGGAGATGGATAGAAAATTCTGGAGATTATTTTTTCATCTTAAAGCATAACAGGTTTCAAATGTCATTTATTAAGTCATTTTGATTTAACTTAATGAGGTCATCCCTCCATCCTCTTGTAAACTATTTTGCCTAAACTAGTTCAAACATTAGAATCTTTTCTTTAAGAAAAGATTATCACTGAAGACT